AAATCCCGGTATTCATTTAGTGAAACTCTTGTTTTCATTGAATTCTACACAAACTTAAAGGGTTTGTATGACTTTGAAATGAGAGTTCAACCCTGTTAGATAAATATATCGCTGGAGAATGCATAGCTAAGCTGTGCGTCGGCAGAACAACGGTTAGGACTCTCGTCGACCATGCACATGATCCGAGGTTCGCTCCCCAACTGGAGCACACCTGATATCAATGGTCGGACTGCAAAATTTGGGCTACCGATATCACATACTGAAAATTACATACGTGTACCAAAAATACTGCATGGCTTCAAGCTATAATTAAAAAAATATGTATTTCAAAGGCATACTCCTTAATTTCGAGTAGCACCGGTGTTCTTGTTTTTTTGCAGGATAGAGTTGCTAGCCTCTCTCTTTGCAAGGCTTAAGACTATGCGTCAGTTGGAAATCGAACCCAGGGCGCGACGCAAGTGGTTGACGCGTATTCTACAACACAACAAATGTATAATCTTCGCATTATTGCAACGTCCAAGATATCGATAAAATTAATAAAAATCGACGGGAGTGAATAATGATGAAACGAATGGGGCCTTTTTAAACCATTTCATACAGTAAAAACCGGTGAGCGGAAATGGATAAACTTAGACCTCCAAGTCATACAGTTTACAAATCTCTCAAATAAACTGATACATATAGTTGTTTTGTTTTTTTTTGTTATTTTTGATTACAGCTTGATTCCACACCGTATTTTTGGTACAAGTATGGAATTTTCAGCGTGGATATCGGTAGCCCAAAATTCGCAGGCCGACCATAGATATCAAGTGTGCGTCGGCGAGGGCTCGAACCCCGGACCATGTGCATGATCGACGAGTGTCCTAACCACTGTGCCACCGACGCATATAATTACAATTTTGGGTAGTGTATGTGATTTAAGGTGTTTAAAATTATTGTTTCTAAGTCAGCCTTAACCTAGATTCTCTATCGTTGGTAAGCACTGCTGCTAAAGGCCCTACTTCGCTGGTTCTACCCGCCTATAATTACAATAGGAATGACTTATTAGCTAGTTCAAATATATATGGAAAACGTTACTATTTCTAAAGACAAAGTTAGCAGAAAAACTTGAGTTATAACAATCAGTATTTAACGCGTTGTAGAGTTTCATTAAACTGATTGTGGATAGTAGATTTTATTGGAATTTAAATTTTTAAGCTTTAGACAAAAGTTACGTAACACGGAATACGTTAGTTGGGTAGAAAATAAAACAAAGTTAACAAAGTAAGTTGTATGACAGCTGACAGAATTGAATGGAATTCAACTAGAATTGAAACATAATCAAGTTCATTGTTATACGGAGTAGAAATGTGATGGCGGGAAAAGAGGAAGATTCACAGAATATTAAAAAATTAGGTTCACTGAAGATTTTCATCGATTGAATAGGCTTCTTTCATATGCAAACTTCAGGATGTAACATGTGGATTGTCGTAGCTTCTGAGTTTTGAAGACACTTGATTTTAAACTTCTCAGGGAAGATTTTTGTTCACTGTGTAGAGGAACGCATAAACTATTCAGATCCACCGTGTTAAGTCCTGAACTCTGAGTACAGAAGTTTATTCAGGCACTGAATCTATAAAGGACTTAATTTCTCTCAAACCTTGACATGTATGTAATATTAGTCAATCCTAAATTTTTCTAACTATTTTGTTATTAGATAAAGCAATAAGGAGACGTAATTTGTCTGAATCGTGTGTGTAATGTGCATTTGTGCAACACATTTCGAACAATCTGATCATACTCCACGTAAATGTCATAGGAATATGCATATACGAAATGAATAAAAAAGTTAAGAGGTAAGAAAATAGACTTCGGTCAAGTTAAAAGGACGTATTCAAGGTGAAAACAACAATGAAGACCACTAAACCAAACAGCAGAGGTAGTAGCACATCTGCTATGGTATCAAAACAAAATTTACTAGGGAAGGTTTAACATGATGACGAATTGTTGCTCTAAACACATAAAAATGGTTTAAACTTTCTAATTGCCAGCTAGGGCTTCCATAAACTTGAGGATACGCCCGAAACACGTTTCACAGATAGGTTTAAAAGATCTGTTAACGTCAATTTTATGTCCTGTCTCTATAATATGTTTCACAATAGAAGAGCTAGGTCTCCTGTTCTCACCATTAATGGCTTCTGAAGATTCCATTCGTTTCTGGAGCCATTTAGCAATATGCTCTGAAGCCAGCCCTTACTTACAAAGATCGTTGAGTCCTCCCCATGTACGTTTGTCCACGCGTTCATTCAAATTGGTAAATATAGTGTGATGTGATGTCATTTTCCGCATGTTCGAATGGCTTCGATAGATATATTGGCTTCACATTCTCTATTATTATGATATTAGCTGCATGAAAAGTCTTTTTTCGGCAGCGTTTAATTTCCGTCTAGTTATCAAGCTACTGTAATGCCCTAAATAGGGTAGACTAATGCACACGTCTTTCGATCATATAATACCTCTGCTATTTGGTTTAGTGGTCTTCATTGTTATTTTCACCTTGAATATGTCCTTTTAACTTGGCCTGAGTTTTTTTTCACCTCTTACTTCTTTATTAATTTCATATATACATATTCCTATGACAATTACGCGGAGTGTGATAAGATTGTTCGAAATATGTTACACAAATGCACATGACACACACGATTCAGACAAAATATGTCTTCTTTTTGCCTTATCTAGATTCATAGAGGGAATAATTGTTTTATATTTTGTTATTTTTTCCCTTCGTATAACTACATTTTCTACTCTTCATGCCATTGGTCGCAAGTCTCATTTAAGTTTATTTGAGTTCTACTCCATTCTGTTAATTAAACTTTATCGGAAATTTTAGCCCCTGTTAATGCTGATATATTGTGTAACGTATTTTTGATCAACTCTTGTCTTAACTGCAGACTGCTCCAGAACACTAAAATCTACCTTTAATAAGCATACAGTAAACGTGTCCCGCTATACGCTGCACGTTGCTACTAACCGAATCTAATATTATGCCCCATTAGAAATCGTTCAAACTCTAGACTAACCAACTAATTCATATGAGATGAAAACTAAACTAAATGACATTCAACTACAGAATGATGAAACAACGGTTAGTTTTGATATAACTAGTCTTTACACTAATATACCAGTCAATATGGCAGCCTTAGAAGCAGTTAAAAAAGAACTAACTGCGGATCCTGAACACAATCATAGGACAAAGCTGCCCATTGAAAAAATTATTTTAGGAATTCAATTATGCCTCACATCTAATATCTTTCAATTCCAAGGTAAAATATATGTAGACAAACAGAAGTTGTAGCAATGGGATGGATCTCCAATATCCCCTATCGAAACAGACATATTTATGAATAGCTGGGAAAATACTGCTCTTAATACGTTTACTCCTACTCCAAACGTAATATGGTGGAGATATGTGGATGACATTTTCACAGTGTTAAAAACAAAACATATCTCTAGCTTCTTAACACATACAACCTCACTAGTAGAACGAATCACAATCCATTAATCAGTATCCTACTGTCTCATTTATTGCAACAACAAAAAAATGTAACTTGTTATCCACCAAGAGGTTCTTGAGGCACAGTAGCTTAATAGCATTACAAAAATTGATTCATAGTGGGAACAGTTAGACAATGATGTGTAGTTATATCCAGCTGTTGAGTTCTAGACTGGAGGAGGCATGCATCCTGCATTCCACTAACCAGCTATTAACAACCAAGTCAATTAATCCTGCAATGTCCACATATCCTTGTTTTGTTTCACTGGTTGAATGCTTTTCACTCAAATGTAAGAATTGCTGACTATTCCTTTAATAGTTAGCTATCATGTGCTACATAATAATTCCTGCAAAAACGCAATATCAGTCGTGAAAAAAATCATCAATAGATAGGCGGCAGAGTGTTAGAATCAACTTGAAACTCTCCTCTTGGACAGCAGTATGTAGTGGAGTGCCACAAGGCATGGTACTCGGACCTCTCCTATTTATTTTGTATATCAATGAGTTATCTCTGCTCACCGACTCCCCTGTGGTCCTCTACGCAGATGACTTAAAAATTTCGAGAGAGCTGAAGGGCAACAGTGATACGTCCACGTTCCAATAGGACCTCAACAAATTATCAGAGTAGTTCATAGAATGGATGCTCCCGGTAAATGTGACAACATGTGCAACCCGACGCATTGGAAAAGCAAGCACGAGCTCCTACGAACTAGACGGAATAATACTTCCATCAGTTCAGACTCACTTGGACTTAGGTGTCATAGTTAGCCACGACTTAAAAACTACAGAACACTGTCACACGGTGGCTGCACGTAGTTTCAGGTCCTTATGGGCAATGCGCAGAGCCTTTACTAGAATCACCAGAATCACCTCCTTATATACATCTCTGGTGAGCTCAAGACTCGAAAACTGCATTCAGGCCTCCAGTCCCTGTCTAAAAGGAGACTCACACATTCTGTAAAGGGTTCAAAGGAAGGCAACATATACGGTTCACGGCATGACTAACTTATCATACGAGGAAGGACTAGACAGTTTAAATCTCTTCTCCCTGTCATACGGTAGGCAGAGAGGAGAATGTTTAAAATTTTCAATAATGATTACGGACCTGATTTATTCTCTCTTTTCCTTCCCACCAGGTCGGAACACCTTAGAGGACATACCAAGAGAGTTCAAAAACCAAGAAGAAATCATATTGCTGTTGAGTACTGGTTCTCACACCGAGTCATAAACTCTTGGAACTGACTCCCAGAAGAAAGCGGTGTCTGCAAACTCAACTGATTCGTTCAAGAAGGGTTTGGACAACCGCAGAAATTTACTAGAAAAGGATTTACATAAGCTCCAAACCTTCTATCCTCAACCAATAAATATGAAATCTAAAAAAACTAAGAGGATTGCATTATCCTTCCTATATTTTCACAAACCATTAAACACACACACACACTATAAAGACATAAAAAAGTGAACCTACCAGGAGAATAAATAGGTTCAGGATCAATTGGTTGGCTGTAATAAGCGTTCCCCTGGCGATAACCACGCTCATTTCGTCGACGAGATAACTCCATTTGATATTGATTAATAAGATAGGATAATTGAATATCTGGTATCTCTTTGAAATACGACAATTGATCACTATTCGCATTTATACGACCATAATTATTATTAGCATTAGCATTAGCGTTAGCATTAGGATTAACATTTTGACTGATAATTTTATTGTTTGGAATATTAAAGGGTTGATAAGAGTTAATGCCTGAAGGTTGTTGAATCTGTTGATGAAGATTTTCATATTGTGATGGATTTTCTAATTGATCATTAAGATTTTGATATGATACAGGATACCATACAGAAGGATTCTCACGATTCATATAGCCGGTATTCCCATCATATGTCATTTGACGCTGATATGGATTACTTATCTTACCCCATTGGTTATCTTGCTGAGGAAATTGCGCATCATTACCGTCATAGCTTGTTTCCTGTTCAGACATAAATAAAGGATCAGGGAAACTGTTCATCGACCGGCGGGGATTATACGATGAATACGAAGGTCGGAGTGGTTGTTGTTGGTATTGCTGAATGGGGGAAGGAAAAGGTTGAGATGGGGCAAGATTAACTCTTCTATAATCGGATGGATCATTTATCTCTTTAATAGAAGCTATTGACATTGGGGATTGTGGTCGAGATTGTCGATAAGATCTTGGCTTTTGATTATCTATGGGTATTTTTGTATCAAAATATAATTGTCCACCATCATTGTTATTATTATTAACATCATCATCATTATTGTTAAAATTGGTGTTTTGTTTCTTAAAGTTATCACGATTAACTCTCTGATAACGTGGATTTCGCCGACCTTGATATAATGATGCTGAAGCAGCTGGTGAAAGAAAATACGACTGAGCATTTCCATCATACGTCTCGTCTGACTGAAATCCTCGCATATTGTCAAACTTACCACTGGCATCGTTAAATGATGAGGATGATAATGATGGTGACCTTACTTTGTTCATATCCTCTGTTTTTTGACCTCTAAATCCAAGATCATACGGTGGCATAACAACTTTTGGTATCTTTTGTTGTGATAATGATGATGATTTAGATGGGCGTAAATTTAATTCCCCATAACGACGTTCCACACCATCTTGTAACGGTCGACTGTTAACAATAACTCTTTCACATATTAATCCATGAAATATTAATAATCCAAGATAGAATACAAATACCTTATTCATTCCATGACTGAAATAAGTAGTATATGTTTGTGTTTTAGCTGTACTACTCACAGATTTGATATTACTAGTAGTAGTAGTATAATTATTCCCATGATTCAGCAGAAGTGCTGTCAGCAATTTATTGTCTAAATTCCATACTTTTACACAATTTAACACTAAATTATATGAATTAATGATCCAAATAATTAATTCCCTGTGAACTTGATCTATAAATCTCCAGAAGAGGATGTAAATCGGATGAATTGACAAAGACGGAATCCATGTGAATGACAGTGCTAATGATGACAATGATAATGATTGCAGTAGATAGATAAAATGGCTAAATGTCCGTGTATATAGATGATGACAGTAGTAATAATAATAATACGAGTGATTAAAGCAATGAAATACAATTAGTAACAATAAGGATAATAATAATAGTGCTGATAAAAGTGAAAACAGTTGTAAGGAATTTATTGCAACTGACAATAATGATACTTCTGATAACGTCCACTGGGAATTGAACATGAATTAGATCAATAGATCTTACTTGTTTTGTTTGAAATTAATAATAATAATAATAATAAGTTATTAATCAGTGGATTAGGTATTGACAATTGAATAGGTATTGAATATTGAACAATCGGATCTCCTTTTGTTTTAATCTGTTTTAAATATTAGCTGGTGTATTATTCAATTGGGTCTATGCAAATTATTGGGTCTTCTTCTTCTTCTCTGTCTCTCCCTGTGTCTTTGTCGCTTACTCAAACTCTTTCACTGTGAATAACAATCACTGAATAAATAGAATAAAGTTTTCAAATATAGTTGTTATTATTATTATTATTGTTATTATTACATCGTTAGTGTAATATACACGAAAAGATTCCTATATAGAGTTTTATCCATACTCCCATGCACAGTGTATTAGAAAGTAGACTTTAGCAGTTGTGGATAATGTGTACATCACCACCTAGTGTTTCGTTGTGGTGATTTTTTTTTTAATTTTTGTTAATTCTCCGTTGACTTCGTTTTTGATACTATTAATGATCCTGTGATTTGTTCTTCTACTTTGTACGTTATTGTAATATATACGTTAAATCCTTTAGCTGAGATCAGCTGAACTCAATTTCAATTATGACAGGTTAGTTAGCTTTTTGACATAATATGTGTGTATTGTATTCCATACGAAGAGAATCAAAATAAGCTCAGAAATCCAAATGGTCAACTTCTCCACAAATGAATAAATCGTATTATGTGCAGTCTGAGTCTTCCTCACAGTCACACACTGTCTCTCTCTCTCTCTCTCACTGTCTCACTGACTCTCTGTCTCCAACTCTCCTATTATTTATTTTTTTAATTGAGTGTGCATATGTGCGTAGGTGCGTGTGTGTGTGTGTGTGGGTGTACTTTTAGTGTTAAACATCCAAACATGTTTTGTTAGATAGTAGTGAACACAAATCTAACAAATTCTGTTGGTGGATAAGTTTAGTTTTATTTCTAATATCAACATGCCTATAGAATGGTGCGTGGGCGAAAAATAGAATAAACCAGCATTACCCAATCATATATGATATCAGTTATTTGAGCATAATGTTGAACCTACGTAAAATATATGATACATATATGATACTATATTTATTATTATTATTATTCACATAGTGCTATATACAATTCATATAATGATGTGCACATGTCTGTGTGTGTGGAAATTAATTTGTTATGGCAGAATCATAGACGCTCTAGAAATAGCATTGCTTACATTGTATTTCACATGGTATTCAATATTTTCGAGTTTAACCAATGATTGATTCCTTTAATTCCTAGAGGAACATATGACTTGAGCCGCACGTCTCCATTGCGTTCGCTTCTCCTCCAACATTCTTACATGGCTACACGTCTGCCCACATGCGTCGGTGGTACAGTGGTTACGACTCTCCCCGACCATGCCTCATATGGTCCGAGGTTCGAACCCCTGCCGACGAACACCTGTTATCTATGGTCGGCCTGCAAAAATTTGGGCTACCGATATTCATGCTGAAAATTCCACACTTGTACCAAAAATACGGTGTGGAATCAAGCTGTAATCAAAAATAAATAAATAAAATAAAATAAATAAATCTCATCTTCACATCACCTCCATGTCACTCTTGCACTGACGACCAGCTCGCCACTTCTCATAAGGGTTCCACTCAATCAATGGACTGGCATGTGATGTCACTCACTAGGTGGTTTGTTTTCTCAGAGTATGGCCGATCCACCTCCATTCCCTCTTGCATATTTATTGCACAGTTGGTTCATGCTGGGGTGGGTTCGTTGATTGTCAGAGATCATTCCTTGTTTCTGGTCTTTTCTGGATGGTCACCTGATCTTCACTGCTCAGCCAAGATAGCTGTTGATGAGAGTCCATGCCTTCGTGACGCGGCGCAAAGATCTGACTTGACCATGGAGTTGCAAATCTGGATCTTATTTTTCATGTTTCCACCGAATGCTGTTGACCTCCACACAGACTTGAGAGTAATGAAAGCCTATCTTGCTTTCCCGATCCTTGCTTTGGTATCCTCGTCAGTTCCGTCCGCCTCTAGTTGAAACGATGCTTCCCATGTCGGCAGGTAGAGGAGGTTGTTTCTTTCAGGTTCCTCCGATTTATGCTGATTGTTATTTGTTGTTGTTGCTGCTGACCAGGAGTCTTCATCACCACATCTGTTTTCTATATTTTCACCCGAAGTCCTGTCTTCTCTGGATGCTTGTTCTGCCAATTTGTTGCTTTTCACTTACATATCTTCCAGTTTGTGGGAAATTAGACATACATCGTCATCGGCGAAGTTCAGATCTTCCAAGTTTTTTGTGTGGGTCCATTTTATACCTGTCTCCTCACTGTCCGCCACTGTCTGTCGCATTATTCAGTCTACCGTAGCCAAGAAAATTATTGGAGATAGTAGGCAGCCAGCCAGCTTATCTTACTCCCGTCTCCACTTCTTCGAAGGGTTCCATGAGTTTCCCAATGTGGATTACCTGACACGCAGCATTGTCGTGAAAATGTTGGATGAGATGTATAATTGTTGGTGGCACCCCGTAACAGCGAAGTAATTGCCAAATTACCTCTCGATCGGCTCTGTCGAAGGATTCATATCAGTTAGAGAACCATTAAAAACCAGACACAAGGAGTACTGGGCAGCTGTTTCATCCTAGTTTGGGAATCATTGGCAGTACACAACCACTGCCGGGGTTCTAACCCACGACCTTCCGGTTACAAGACAAGCTCGTATATCACTCAGCCAGTGGGACTCGATTCAATGGACCATGAATTCTAATTTCTACATTGATTGCTGGTCGCACTAAATCACGAATTGGTAGAAGTCAGAATTCATGGTCACTTGGATCTGCTCTCAGTGGCTGAATGGTATACGAGATAGCTCGCCTTGTAACCGGAAGGCCCTGTGTTCGAACCCCTGTGGTGGTTGCGTACTGCTGATGATTCCGAAACTAGGCTGACTAAACAGCTGTGCAGTACTCTCAGATGGTTTTCACTGGTTCTCTAAACGATATCAATCGATCCGTAGTCAAACCCATGTAAATAAATAGTCGTCAGAAAAACCCTTCAAAATATCTTCAAAGACATGAAAAGTGACACCAACCCAATATTTGTGTGAGTAATGGAATAGCTGCAAATAGGAAAGTAAAAACTCAATCAAAAAGAAATCATTCTGTCTATAGAACTTTCTGAATTATTTAATGTATAAGTATATATGTATATATGTATATATATAGTCCACCAACCTGCAACAAACTCTTCTCTCCATATTCCTATTACCACCACCAAGACATAAATAAAAGCCATAAAACTGCTTTGGATAAACCTTACATCTGTGGAGATGAAAAATGTCCACAACAAGCTACTTAGACCACGACTTATTCAATAACGAATTGAAGTTTATGCGTAATTTTTTTCTCATTTTCAAGGATTGATTTTTGCACTGTTATTTATGTAATTAAATGTTCTTCAGGCTTTACTCCAATTTACATAGATTTATATATATATATATATATGGAAAGCTTGAATACCACTCAGCCACCACTGGAACCCGATTCAATGGCCAATACATTAATATCAACTTCTAAAAATCGGTGATATTTAGCGCAATCTCCAAGCAATGCCATCGGGGCGGGAACCTTATCCTCACCCTGACTAGATCAACCCCACCGGTCACGACTTTTCACTACAACTCCAGGCAACTTCGTACTGTAGCCAGTCACCAGCAAGCATCAAATAAACTTCCAAGGATTAGTTTGTAACGATTCTATAATCATCGCTCTTATTGAGGTTCGCAAGATTTATCACATTATTATCATAATTATTTGATCCACAAACTCTATGTAAATTAGAGTAAAGCCTGAAGAAGATCTAATTCAAAACAACAATATTGTTTGCTTATATGTGTTGTTCTAATATTATTAACAATGGGAACATTTAAACATTCATCAATCCGTGGTCAAAATCATAAAAATAAATCTAATCCTTACAAAACGAAACCTTGGAAAAGTACATTTTAAAGGTCCATATGGAGACAAGCCTATGAATATCTTGATACCGAATAAGTAACAGTTTCAGCAAACAAATATTCGATAATGAGTAAGTGAGACTTTGTTAATATCACTGAGACGTGAGTAATATTCATCGAAATAAGTATGAACGAATAGAGTACATTTAAAATGGTAGATATAGTATACGTATAATAGATTCGATAACAATGAATACATATGAACTTCGTGAACAATAAATAAATTTAACATATGTAAACCGTATAGCACTAAATAAACATGTTTGATCCATACTCAAAAGACAGTTTGAAAACTGCTCACCAAGAAGTTTACTCAAATATGATTTTCTATTCGCAAATATCTTCAAGAGAAACTAAAAGTAAGATTGGAAGGAGGATTTCATCATGAGCTGACATCAGTTACAGACACATTGAAAAACCAGATAACGGCACTGGACAGCTTCACAGGACGTACCAACCGATAAGGTTCGAACACAGGACCTTCTGGTTACAGTGCTAGCGACCTCGTAGACCACTGAGCCACTGGAACCCCATCCGAGGGCCAGTCCATAAATCCTAACTTCTGGCAGTTCCTGACATAGAGCGACCACTAACCAATGTGTTCTTCGATGAATTACTGCCTCACATTCAGCCTGCTATACACTACTGGTCACGGATTTCCACTAGAACCCAAAGTTAACCGCCTGAATAGGGCCAATCTCTAGTGAGCATCATTTTATTTGGAAGGATGATAAACTAACTTTGAATCGCTGTACTGCTGTTATGCTCTAGTTAATTATTTCATCGACAAAAATGAATTAGACTGATAATAGCCGATCTATAGATCACAATGAGTGATAGTCCTTACACACAAAAAATACAGAAAAAATGCCCATGAGTTCATGTACGTCGGTGGCACAGTGGTTACGACTTTCCCCGACCATGCACATGGTCCGGGATTCGATCCCTGCCGACAGACACCTGATACCTATTGTCGGCCTGCAAAATTTGGGCTACCGATATCACATGATGAAAATTCCATACATATACCAAAAATACGGTGTGGAATCAAGCTGTAATCAAAAATAAAAATAAATATCTGTTTTAGAGTTAATATAATGTCATCTATATACAAGAATAGGATCAAGGTAACTGAGCAGTAAACTACTTGACAATCCACAGGTCGTCAGTGGAGTCGAATTCAGAAAGTCATTAGTTAGTCAATAAATACTTACCTCTAGGTATCAGTTGGAGTTTGTGTCTTATTTAACAGCAAAGAACACATTCACACACTTGTATTGAGGGATGAATCATCGTCTGGAGCTAATGGATTAAACCAATGGGACCCGATCCAATGACCGACCCATGAATTTCAACTTCTGCCAATTCATCACATAGAGTGACCGCTCTGCAAAATCTTCTTCGATGAGTTACTAACTCCCTACAAAACCAATGCTTGAAAATTGGTCTGATGCTCACTGGCCACTGGCCCTATTCAGGCACTTAACCAGGGTTTCTGGTGGAAAGCTGTGACCAGTGGGGTGCAGCAGGTTGAAGGTGAGGCATTGGTTAATGGTCGCAGTATGTCATGAACTATCAAAAGTTAGAATTCATGAACAGGCCGTCGGATGGGTTCTCAGTGGCTTAATGGTCAACGAGCTCGCTAGCTTTGTAACCAGAAGGTCCTGTGTTCAAACCTTGTTGGTGGAAGCGTACTGCTGGAGAGTCCCAAACTAGGATGGGGAAACATCTCTCCAGTACTCCCCGGTGGTTTTCCAA